CTCTTAAAACCACTTCTGATGCATCTCATAGATTTTTGTATGTTATATTTCTGTTTTCTTATGTCTCTAGGTATTTTTAAATTTTTCCTTTTATTTCTTTGATGACCCATTGTTGTAGCATGTTATTTAATCTCCATGTTTATGTGGTTTTTCCAGTCTTCTTCTTGTAGTTGATTTCTAGTTTCATACCATTGTGGTCAGAAAAGATTCTTGATATGATTTCAGTCTTAAATTTACTGAGAGTTGGTTTTTTTATTTTTATTTTTTATTATGTTAGTCACCATACATTATATCATTAGTTTTTGATGTAGTGTTGCGTGATTCATTGTTTGTGTATAACACCCAGTGCTCCATGCAATAAGTGCCCTCCTTCATACCCATCACCGGGCTAACCCATCCCCCTACCCCCCCTCCTCTCTAGAACCCTCAGTTTGTTTCTCAGAGTCCATAGTCTCTCATGGTTCGTCTACTGAGAATTGTTTTGTGGCCTAACCCATGATCTGTCCTGGAGAATGTTCCATGTGCACTTGACAAGAATGTGTGTTCTGTTTTGGATGGAATGTTCTGTATAAATCTATTAAGTCCATCTGGTCTAATGTGTTGTTTAAGCGTGATCTTTCCTTATAGATTATCTGTGTAGGTGATGTAACCACTGATGTAAGTGGAGCGTTAAGATCCCCTACTATTGCTGTCAATCTCTTCCTCTAGGTCTGTTAATATTTGCTTTATGTATTTTGGTTCTCCTATGTTGGGTGCATAAATATTTATACATGGTATATCTTCTTGCCAGGTTGACTCTTTTATCTTTATGTAATGCCCTTCTTTGTCTTTTATTACAATCTGTTTTAAAATCTATTTTGTTGGGTAAGTTCAGCTACACCAACTTTGTTTATTTCCATTTGCATGGAGTATCTTTTTCCATCCCTTTACTCTCAGTCCTTACTTTTTTTTTTTTTAGATTTTATTTATTTAGTTGACAGAGAGAGAGAGAGCACAGAAACAGAGGGAGAGAGAGAAGCAGGCTCTCTGCTAACAGGGAGCCTGACGCGAGGCTTGATCCCAGGATCCTGGAATCATGACCTGAGCCGAAGACAGACGCTTAACGGACTGAGCTACCCAGGCACCCCTCAGTCCTCACTTCTTTTTTTTTTATTTTTATTTTTTAAAGATTTTATTTATTTATTTGAGAGAGAGAATGAGATAGAGAGAG